CGCTGCAGCCAGATGTTTCTGGGAAGAAGGAGGCGCAGCAGAGGCGGAGAGAGTCTGAAATCTGAGTAGGACCCTGCCATGGCCTGTGTGTGAATCCAGCATTCCCACCCCTCACCCGGACCCTCTCTCTCCCTCACTCCCCTGCTTCCTTGCCAGCACTTTCAAAGATGCACAGTATTAGCCCCTAGGCTCGCGGTATTCCCCCTCTCCCCCAGGCTTGGAGGGGGGCGTTCAGAAAATCCTGGGTTTGCTAATTGCTATTCTGCTTTCTTTTTTCCGGCACCAGACTCTCTCCAGTGGCTCCACAATCTCCATCTTGCTGTTTTTTTTTTTTTTTCTGGAAGGTTCTCCAAAGCCACTGGTAACTAAACTTTAGACATAGAGGCCTGTTGCTCCTTGCTCACTGTCCTAAACACTTAGCAGTAATTAGCATCAGTGGGGAGGCAAATGAATTAGGGACCCAGGGAATATGGCTGCTCCCTGGAGGAGGGAATGGAAACTCAAACATCCGGCCGTGAGGGGGCAGGGAAGGCAGAGCGGCCTGGGAAGGCCGGATGACTGGACAGTCAGTTTTGTGTGCCCACCTGAGGCCAGGAGACGCAGCGAGTCCTTTGCCTTCGAGACTCTGTTTTGTCGCCTGTGGAATGGGGATGCATTGCAGGTTCAGGTCCATTTTGGAAGGAGGTCATGAAATATGTGTGTTAGAATTCACACTGAAATTTCCTTCTCTAAGGCCCTGAGAACAAGCCTTACTCTCTCTTTGTTTTTTGGGCCACATTTGGCGATGCTCAGGCATGACTCCTGGCTCTGCAGTCAGGAATCACTCCTGGTGGTGCTTGGGACCCCGTGATGGGTGCCAGGGATTGAACCCAGGTCAGCTGCATGCGAGGCAAGTGCCCTCCCCACTGCACTGTTTTTTTGGCCCTAAACAAACCTTACTTGAAACACATTCAGTTTTCCATTTCCCCCCAGATTTGTTGATGTTTTCAGTGACAGCTTGTCCACTCTTCCTGCTTGGAAACGTAAGCTAGCACGGAGACTTTCTTTATTCGTTTATCTGCCCTTTGTGCATTCATCCATTATTTGTGCACTTTTATCCATTCGTGCACGATTTCAGTTTGTGCTGTGTACAAGTCACCATTGATGTATCCTCCCAGTAATGAAGAAGAAATTGCTGTAATTTGTTGAGCACCCATATTGTGGTGGGTACTGTGCTAAATACTTTTACTTCACTTTTATTTAACCCCTGTAGCATCCCTGTGCGCTTGGCATGATTCCTCTTTTCAGATGGGCTAAGTAGAACTCTGAAAGCTGATACTTTCCTTTGCATCATACAGGTGAGAAGGTCAGAGAGCCAGCTCTGGATGTGGGTCTGACTGCCTCTGCCCTCCAGCCTGCTCTCGGGGGAACCTCACGGCTTTCTGTACGGTCCTCGTTGACTGCTTTCCTTTTTTTTTTTTTTGGCTCTGTGCTCAGGAATAACTTCTGCTAGAGCCCAGAGACCATTTGAGTCAGAGATGACAGGATGCGAGCAAGCATCTTGACCCCTGTCTGATCTCGGTGGCTTCTGACCCCTTTCTTCTGTCTCTCTGCACCTGGCTCAGACCCCACCTGTCCTTTGCTCATTATCTTGGCAGCCTCCTGGCTGCACCCTGTGTTTATTTTCCGAAGTTGCCCTTGCCTCCACTCCACCTCACTCTGACAACCAGTTTGGTCTTCCTAAAATAGTTTTCATTATAGCACTCTCCTGTGGAGGAGGAGCCCGGCTTCCTGTGGTTGTTGGATAGAGTCCACCATCTCTAGCTGGTCTTTAGTGCATCTCAGTGCTAATGTGTTTATTCAGTAGGTATGGGTAATGGGCCCAGGAGGAGGAAAGGTGCAGACTGTAGATGAATTTAATAGGACTCATCTAGAATTCTTCGCCCAGCCAGGTGGATCTTTTGATTTATGTATTTATTCTTGGATTTTGGGCCACCCCTGGGAGTGCTTGGTTCACTCCTGGAGCTGCTCAGGGGACCGGATGGGGTGCCAGGGATTGAGCCTGAGTTGACTGTGTGCAAGGCGAGCACCTTGCCTGCTGGACTATCTCTATGGTTCCCAAGCTAAGTTTTTAAAATAGCTCCTAGGGTTCGGAGCCATAGTTTAGCAGGGAGGGTGTTTGCCTTGCATGCAGCTGGCCGAGTTTGATTTCTGGCATCCCATATGATAACCTGAGCACTGCCAGGAGTAATTCCTGAGTATAGAGCCAGGAGTAACCCCTGAGCATCGCCGGGTGTGACTAAAAGAGGCAAAAATAAATAAATAAAATAGTCCCTAGTCAGGCTGAATGTGTTTTCTGTACTCAGGTGGTATTCAAAACATAGTGTTGGTAGGACCTGCCCAGTGTGAGGCTCAAGGTCCGGGTCTCAGGCACTCACGGCCACCTCCCCGGCCCCTTTAATTCCGTACAGTAGTGACTTCTTACGGTATTCTTGACATCTTATGGCACATGCCATCTGTCATGTCAGATAGCTCTTTGTACTTCTATACCTTCTGCCCTTGCTCACAAAGCACCTTTTGTGCCTGATCTCATTTGGCCTCAGAATGCTAGTGTAGGTATGGGCTATCATTTCCAAACAGACCCCGAGAAGCAAGGCCCTGAGGGCCAGTGAGGGTCTGGCTCTTGTCTTGTATGCAGCTGACTCTGATTCAGTCCTCAGTGCCACGGATGGCCTCCCGAACTTTGCTGGGAGTGACCCCTGCCTGAGCACAGAGCTCACATGCTCCTGGGCACTCTGAGTATGGCCCAAACCATCTTCTCCCCCCACCATAAGGAGTTCGGGACTACAGAGATCTGAGTGGTGGTTTCCTTTCCCTCCCTCTCTAGTCCCCCCTCCCACCGTGTGTGGCTCCAGGGAGGCTGCTCAGTTCTCTTGCCCTAGCTTCCTCGTGGTGTTTCCTGGTCAGCCTCCACGCGGGGCTACTGCCATGTCTGCACAGGCTAGCAAACACCCTCCCCACTGTCTTATCACTCTGGCCCCAATAGTTGGTACTATTAACTATGGTACTAGAAAGTCACTTTTTGAAAAATTGAATCACCGTGAGATAGTTACAAACTTTCGTGACTGAGTTTCAGTCATACAATGAACGAGCACCCATCCCTCTACCAGTGTGCATTTTCCACCACCAATGTCCCCAGTATCCCTCCCGCCACCCCCACTCCATCTCACCCCCTGCCTCTGTGGCGGGCACCTTCCTTCTTATTCTCTCTCTACTTTGGGGCATTATGGTTTGCAATACAGATACTGAGAGGCCACCATGCTTGGTCCTTTATCTGCTTTCAGCTCACGTCTCCCATCCCGAGCGGTCCCTCCAACCATCATTGACTTAGTCATCCCTTCTCTATCCCAGCTGCCTTCAAAAGTCACTTTCATTTATTTGGCTTGTGTTACAGCTGGGGGTGCTTAGAGGTTATACCTGGGCTCTTATGGTACCCTGTGTGGTGTTAGCCCTGGGTGGCTGTGTGCAAGCAAGGACCGTAGCTGCTGTACTAGCTCTCCAGCCCTAGAATACATTTTTAGGGTGCTCTGTAGGTCTCACAGTGCTCTGCACAGGGTAATTCAGACTGCCCAGCTGTGAATGCTTGTGAAGGAGGAGGGAGACAGCGTGGAGGCTGCAGGGGAGGAGAGAGGTTCTCCTGGGGCGATGGATGGAGCTGTTTCTTCTGCTCTTGAACCCGCCCAACTGGGTGCGGCAGTGGAGCTGGTGGAGGGCTCACTGTGTGTGCGAGGAAAGAAATGGGCGCGGGGTGGAGGAAGGGCCTGCTGACCCGGCTGGCCACCTGGGGGCCGAGGCTAGCCCTCTGAGGGAGGTGTGGAGGCACTGCCGCATGGTGCTATGGACCCTCACACTGGGGTGTGGAGTCGTTTTTTGTTTTTGCTTTTTGGGTCACACCCTGGGCTGCAGCGATAGCACAGCGGGTAGGGCGTTTGCCTTGCAAGCGGCCAACATGGCCGACCCGAGTTCGATTCCTCCGCTCCTCTCGGAGAGCCCAGCAAGCTACCGAGAGTATCTCGCCCGCACGGCAGAGCCTGGCAAGCTCCCCGTGATGTAGTCGATATGCCAAACACAGTATTGATTGTCACAATGGAGACGTTACTGGGCCCGCTCGAGCAAATCGATGAACACTGGGAGGACAGTGACAGTGACAGGGTCATGCCCAGTGATGCACTGGAATTTCTCCTGGTGGTGCTCAGGGGACCGTATGGGATGCTGGGAATCGAACCTTCTTGGTTGTCCGTGTGCAAGGCAAACGCCCTACCGGCTGTACTATGTACTATCACCCCAGCCCCTGGAGTACAGACTCTTATTAGTTGCTTATAGTTATTATTAAAGGGAAATGCCGAAACCAGGGAGCTCTCCACCTGTAAGGCAGTGGCCTGAGGGCGGCCCCGGGTGGTGCTGAGCGTGGGACTTTGCTCCTGGGTGTTTGCTCCCGGTGTAGCCTGTTGAACAGAAGCTCTGGGCGCACAGGGAGGGAACAAGTGGTAGCCTTTGCCCAGGCAGTTGACTGCCCTTCTGCTGGGCGCCCCAGGCTTTGGACCCCAGAGTTTAGGATGGGGGGAGAGCGGCTATCCCAGCAAGGGGGTGGGGCTGGCAGACCCTCGGTAGCCGAGTCTTTTGAAGTGTCATGCTGTGGGCCAGGTGAGGTCATTTCATGCCCTGGTCAGGGGTGCAGGAGGAGCCTAAGTCCCTGGCGCTCGCTCGCTCGCAGGGTCTGTGTGTGAGCCTGGCTCCGGGTCCTCTGAGCCTGGCCGGGCGAAGCCGGGGGACGCTAGGACCCAGAGGCCAGCACGGTTCCTGACAAGTCTGGAGCAGCACTAGCGCAGAGTGAGACTCATCAGCTGGCTCCGGGCTCCTGCCGGGGTTCAGGAATCCTCAGGCAGCACCGGCTTGCTCCTGTCCCCATCGCTGCCTGCGCTGCCCCGTGGGCCGCTCGGCGAAGCCCATGGAGCGGGCAGGGCCGTGCCCTCTGGCCGGCTGGGCTGCCCATGCGGGCCTGGCGCCCTGACCCTCCTGCTGGGTGTCTGCCTTTTCTCTCCGTCTCTGGCCGCCTGGGGGAGGGGGCAGGGGCCCAACAAGCACCATGGCCCAGAGCAAGCGGCACGTGTACAGCCGGGTAAGTGGCCACCCGAGGTGGGCTGGCCCGAGGATGCTGGAGCTGGTGGCCGCCCCTGCGGTGGGGGCTGGGAGAGGGGCTGGAGCAGGGGCGCGGGCTGGAGCTCTGATGGGATTAGCTGGACAGACCCTCCTCTGTGGTGCGGGTCCGAGAAGGCACTGGCCACGCAGGGCCTGACCTTTGACTCTCATTGGCGCTGGGGCCAGAGGTTCTGAGGGACGGTCTTGGGGACAGCGAATGGCGGTGCTCGGAGTGGCATGAGGGAGAGGCCTTTCTCTAGAGCTGCTTTGTTGTCCGGCACTGGCCTGCTCCTGTTGTGTCCACATGGCCCTGGGCGGGCAGTGGGGGTGGCTGGGGCTAGGCTCTGCCCTGGGGGCCAGCCCCCGGGTCACTGGCAGTCTCTTCTGCCGGCAGATCCCCGGAAACCCACCCGCTGTCCCAGGTGGGATTTGAGGGTTCTGGAGCCCCACCCCCTGGTACTGGGGGACTGACAGGTTTGGGCAGGGCTCCCCTGAAGCCCGCTGGGCATCGGAAGCAGACTCTGTGTGGCAGGCAGGACCATGGTGCCACTTACTCATCCTTTGCTGCAAGGTCCCTGCTTCACGGAGCTGCTATTGCTAAAAAAGGCCGAGGTGTGACTTTCTCCTAGCATGGGCCTGTTAGGGTGGCATTGCGAGTTATGTCCTGTCATCACAGTGGAGAGCTGCCCAAGGACAGCATTTTGCTCCATTCCTGTGCCTTGTCCATCTTTCGGGTGAAAACCGGCCACTTGCACTACCGTCAGTGTTGGGGACCTGGTTTACCTGCTCTTGTTTCTCTTCGTGGGACACAGTGTGGGGGAAAGGCCTCTAGAAGTCGGGGTGGAGATTTGGGGCACAGGACTCCAGGCAGGAAGAGGAGCCTTAGGCGGTTGGCTGGGCTGTGGGGAGGCCATCGGGGTCACTGTTGGGGTGGGGTGGGCCGGGCCGGGCATGTGGTGCGCCTCTGGAAGGGGTGGAGGGAGAGCCGTTTGACTTTCAGGGAGGACAGGGACAGCGGTCTCTGGGGTTCTCCTGCTGTGACCTGCCCGTCTTCCAGCTTCGGCTCCGGGCCTGGGCTCTGGTTCCGGAGCCTGGTCTGAACGGAGGTGTTCTGTTTGTGCTCCCTTCCCCTCCTCGGGGGTGGTGCTCCTGAGAAAACAGCCATGTGGTGACATTCACACATCAGCGAATTCTGATTCGTTACCGAATTTAAATATAAACTCTTAAAAATTCTGGAATTGTCCAGAGGGGTTTGGAGACGCTGTAGAGGAGCACCTCACTGTCATTTTCAAGAAGGGGGTTTAGGAGCTCCCTTGGCCCTGAGAATGGGGAGCCGGGAACGTGACTCCTGGTGGTTAAGGAGTCGTGCGTTAGGACAGCGCCCGGCGTGGCCCTTGACCCTGTGTGTTTGCCATTTCCGCCCTCCAGACTCCCAGCGGCAGCAGAATGAGTGCGGAGGCAAGTGCCCGGCCTCTCCGGGTGGGCTCCCGCGTGGAGGTGATCGGGAAAGGCCACCGAGGCACCGTAGCCTACGTGGGCGCCACCCTCTTTGCCACTGGCAAGTGGGTCGGTGTGATCCTGGATGAAGCCAAGGGCAAGAACGATGGCACCGTCCAAGGCAGGAAGTACTTCACATGCGATGAAGGGCATGGGATCTTTGTACGACAGTCCCAGGTACCCACCCTGCCCCTGTGCCTGCTCGCCTGGGTCTCAACAGAAGCGTCTGTCTGCTGGGGGCGCGTGAGGGGCAGCCGGGGAAGGAAGATTGGGGATCTGTTTTTAGGGAGCTGTGAAGTACCCAAGGCTTGGGGACGGGCCCATATTTTAGCCATCCTTGCCCTGGCTCTGTTGAGTCTGTTTTGTGGCCTCAGATCCAGGTCTTTGAAGATGGAGCAGATACTACTTCCCCAGAGACACCGGATTCTTCTGCCTCCAAGGTCCTCAAAAGAGGTAATAACCACCCGCTCAAGTTGCTGCCTGTATGGAGGGTCCCCGGGAAGTCTCCCTGGAACACCGGGTTGCAGTAGATCCTGAACATGTTCCTTTGTCCTAACTCCCCTCCCCTGCCCCTACCTCTGTGTCCAAACACACACTTTGTTTCCTTCCTGCAGAGGGAACTGATGCGGCTGCAAAGACCAGCAAACTGGTGAGTGATTGGGGGCGGATGTGGGAAGGGAGGAATAGGGAGAGGAGGAGGAAGGAGCCTCTCCCCCTCCGTCCCAGGCCGGTGGGAGTAGCTGGCGAGTGAAGGGGATTGTCTTGGGGTCTCCAGCCTCCCCGTGTGTGTGTTGCTGCGTTAGGGACAGAGTAAGGGGGGAACTATTAAGGCCCAGAAATTCAGGGTCAAGTGAAGGTGGGGTTGTAGGAAGGATAGGTCTGAGCCTCATGGTGCCAGCTTCTTGCTTTTTGGTACCCAAGGCTGCCAGGATCTCAGGGGCCAGGGACTAGGTGGGAGGGAGAGATGGGAGACAGCGGGAGTTCTGTGCTCGGGTGAGTAGGGAGGAGCCAGGTGGGTCCTCTGCTTCAGGCTCTGCCCGAGGCCCTGATGCACCAAGCGGGCAGTGTGTATGTTGTGTGTGGGGCGGGGTCCCCAGCCTGCCAGTGTCTCAGGCAGCGTGTGCACATCCTGACTCTGGTCCTTGAAGTACCCCGAGCGGTGCTTACTCAGGGCACCTGCCACCCGACGCCCCCCTTCTTGAGCTGTCATAAGGCCAGCACCCGGGATGTCCGGCCGGGCTGCCCTGTGAGACGTGTGTTACTAACTGCCCTTTCCCACTCCTCATGCAGCGGGGAATGAAGCCTAAGAAGGTGGTGTGTTTGCTTCGTGTGCCCGGCGCTGTGGGCCCCAAGCCTCCACGGCTGCCTGCATGTCCTTGGCTGTTGCATGCTTGTGTGTGTGACCTTGAGGCTGGGCTGCCCAGAGGAAATGGCGGCCTGGGCTTTCAGAGTTCCTTTGAGGGGCGCATGGACATCAGACAGTGTCCAGGTAGAGCCCCACAAAGATGACCCCCCGGCCCCAGGACTCATAGGCAGAGACTGCAGCTGAGGACTGATCTTCCTCCCTTTTAGGGGCTCTCACTTGGCCTGAACTTGGGGTGGTGGGAGGAGAGACGGAGGGTCAGCATCAGGGAAAACACCTGGTGAAGTGACAGATGCCCCAGGGAGGACCGGGAGGCCGGAGGCTGAGAACAGAGTGTTGGCTGGCAACCTGGGAGAGTGGACGCTGCCCAAGGGCCTGGGCCGACCCTGCTGTCTGTCCGTCTCGCCTGCCGCCTCCTTCCTCTGCTGTGGTCCCTGTCACCTGCCTCCTGCCCCTTGCAGCTCTGTCAGCCAGGGTGGGAGTGGGGCTCACGATGTCACCATCCCAGACTCTTTAAAACTCTGGCACTGCCGCAACCACTTCCTCCCTTCAGCCCCAGTGCCCTGCATGTATGTGCCTGTGTGCTCTGTCTGTGTGTGCCCGTTTATAGCTGTGTGATGTCCTTGTCGCCAGCATTTGCATGGAAAGCTGCGGGACTGGGGTGGTGGGCAGGGGGAGGAAATCCCCCTCTCTCACTCTGGGCTGGGGTGCCCTGCCTCGGAAGATCTCACACTGATACTGGCTGTGGGGTCTGCTCGGGTGGGACCTGGAGGTGAGAAGGAAGAGAATGCTCGAGAGGATCCTGGGACCCATCTCGGGCATGGATATCTCCCCTTGGTCGCTGGCTCCCGGTGGTGGCCTGCCCTCTCTGGAGTCTGCTCTGTAGGAGCTCTGGTCTCAGCCTGGCCCTCCCAAGCCCTGTGGGTGGGGCACCCGCCCCCGGAGGTGTGGTGGAGCCCAGCCAGCTACCCTGTGCTGGCACCTGTGCTTCTTTGCTCCTGGGCCAAATTGCAGGCCCCACGCCCCACGCGGGGCTGTGCTCTCCGCAGGTCCCTAGCCCAGGGCCCCTCCATCAGCCCGTGGGCCTCCCTCCACAGCAGACGGAGCTTTGAGAGCGAGGGCAGAAGAGACTCCAGCTGCCTCCGCAGAGTGCCCAGTTCTTCCCGGAGACCCCTGGGGCCTTGTACCTGCCCCCACCCGACGATGCCCTTAGAGCTGCAGCGGGAAGCCGCACCCTGTGCGCCGTGGGCGGGTTGGATGCTCTGGTTGTGCGCGCCTGCTGAGCCGCCATAAGAGCTTTGTCAATGTGTCGCTGGGGTGGTGGGCGGAGCGGGGGAGAGGCCCGGGGAGGCCGCCAGAGCAGTGAGCCCCGGGCGGCAGAGGGCGCCAGTTCCGGGGTGGCCTCGCGGCCGGGTCCTGGGAGCAAAATCCTCGGGGCTGGTGCTAGTGACAGGCTCGCGGAGCCGGTCCCAGTGGCGACTGGGCGGGCCAGGGCGGGTTCCGCGCCCGCTGGTCCAGCCCCAGGCCGGGGAGGAGGGCCCGCGCGGTTGCTAGGTGACGGTTGCTAGGTGACGGTGCCGTGGCTCCGCCCAGCCCGGGGAGGGCGGGCGCATGACGTCAGGCGGAGCTGGTGCTGCGGCCGAGCGGGTGCCCGGCAGTTCCCGCGTCCCCTCCGGGGCCTCTGCGCCCGAGCCACGGCCATCTTCGGACTGGGATGCTGAGGCTGCACTGCTGGGATGTGATGCACTAACCTGCTGTCTCCGCCGCCTTTCCCTCTGTTCGGCCTCTTTCCCTCCCTCCCTCCGTCTGCCCTTTCTCCGTGTGTGTGTCCACCCTCCTCTGTCCCTCCTCTTTCCTCTCCTGGCTTTCTTGGGGTTTCTGCAATGATGAGACAGGCACCGACCGCCCGAAAGGTACTCTTGCTTGCTCTGCTGCCGCCGCCGGGTCACCAGCCCTGGTGGGGGTGGGGGCGACTCCCTTCCTGTGCGCTCCTGGCGTGGGGGAGGGGGGAGGAGAGTAGGGGGTCAGGGGGCCCTCCGTGCCCCATGCCCTGGGTGTTTGCTCCCGGACCTGCTCTGGCCCGGGAGTCTGGACTCGGCCTGGCCGCCGTGGCCCCACAGGCCCGGACTTGAGGCAGTTTTTGCGGCACGCTGACCCTGGGAGTTTGCTGAGAGCATCCCAGGGAGAAGGTCCTAGGCCTCCGCGGCCTGACCTCCGCCACAGTGACTCCTGGGCTCCCAGCATCCCTCGACCTCCTACCGGGAGGGAGGCTTAGGGGGATTTGTCAGGCTGGGGGTGGGGGGCAGGAGGGTGGCATTGGCTTCCTCCATCCCTGTACAGGGCCCGGATAAACAGGGCTTCTGTTAAACCTTGGTCGTGAGGGGCCAGGCCGTTCACTTTCCGTAACCTGAGGGGTTTCTGGCTCTGGTTTAGGGCAGTAGTTTCTTTATGCTCTGGCCCACCCCCACTGCTCTTCCCTCGCAGCTGGTGAGGGTTACTCTGCTGAGCTGGGGCTTCTGGCTAATGCACTCTTCCTGGGCCTGACACCTGAGCTCCCGGCCCTAGGGATGGGGGTGCTGCTGGCTTGGGGCCTGGGGGAGGGGGAGGGGAGGGAGGACAGCTGCATTGTTCTGCCTGATCCGCCTTGGGGTGGGGGACGCACATCTCCCTAGTCAGGGCTCCTGTCACAAACTTCTGGGCAGATTCGTGGGCTCCAGCACGGGACAGGAAGGGGCCGGTTCTGGTTCAGGAAAATCCTTGGGAGTGGCAGGTGGGTGGGGCCTCTGCTGGCCCCACAGAGAGAAGTTGATGAAGGGCTGGTCTCTGGGGACCCCGCCAGCTGCCGCCTTTGGTCTCCTGTGGCTCTCAGCCTAGGAGACAGGGACTTCTGGGATGTCAGAGTATGTGATGGGTTGAAGTTTGCAGCGTTTGGGCCAAAGGAGGGGCAGGGACCACTGGGCCACGGGAATTCTGAGTTCCTGGCAATACTGACTTGAAGGCAGTTAGTAGTGGGCGCAGGGGCTGAGTGAGGGTGAGGGGGGCAGGCTACTGTACCTTCATTCCTGTGCCTTCTGCTCTCATGGCTGTCCCGTTTGCTGTGTCTTTCTGCCGTTGTTCTTTCTTTTCCTGCTTCTCCTCTGGCTCCTGTTGCCTGTCCAGACCACAACTCGGCGGCCCAAGGTGAGAAGGACAGGCCCCGCTGGGCACGCGGTTCAGGCATGTGCATGTGTGTGGGCGTTGGCTGCAGGTCAGAGCTGGCCACAGTGTATCTTGGCATCTACACTCTATACACTTAGCATTTCAAGGGAGTGAGTGGAGTGCAAGGGGGTGACCCAGCACTCCTTCTGGCTCGTGTAGGGAGTCTGAGCCGGTACCCTGAGTGCAGAAGGGAAGTGACCCTGGTTGTGGTTAATCAGGATGGGCTTTCTTGAGATGGGGCGTTTGGATCAGTTTTGATGAACCGGGAACCACTTGGAAGAGAGCTGACAAAGCCCTCAGGAGTGAAGGCAGTAGATTGTCCGGGGAAGGCGCTGGGTGTGGGGTCTGCTCTGAACGCCAGCCCACCTGAGCTCCCTCAGGGCCCAGCATTGCCAGCAAGAGCCTGGGCACACCCGTCCATTCCTTCCACCTGCCGTACCACCCCCCGATGGATGCTTGTTTGGATTGTGGGGGGGAGGCAGGTGACAGAGGTTGAGTGTAGACCTTGTGTCAGAGGGCAGCTAGAAGGGCCACGACCACCCTGGTCCATTCCCTGCAGGGTCCCCTGCAGCAGGCCGAGGGAGGAAGGATCAGTTTGGTTGCTAAGAGCCAAGCGCGGGAGATGCCTGGCCTTGGGGCGGGCAGAGAACCGGGTGCCCCCCTGCAGGCCAGCCAGGGGAAGCTAGAGAACCAAACTCCAGTCTTTCTCTGGGAAGGACTTTGAGTCACTTGATGCTCTGGGGGAGGAGGGCACAGGCCTGGACAATGCTAGATAGGACGTGGAGTATTGAGGGATTGTTCGAACAGTCCCCCCGGGGCTGCAGGGGAGTCTCTGTCAGGGCTGGGAGGAATGTGGGGTCTGTGCCAAGGGAGGAGTCTTCTAATCTCCTGTCTTCCTCCTCCCCCTCCCCCTCCCTGGCCTTCCCTGTCCCTGGTCACTCTCCCCAACTCTCTCTCCCTCGGCCCTTCCTGTCGCTTCTCTGTCTTCGTTGTGCTTTGCTCCCGTCTGCCTCTTCCTGCCTCTGGCTCCTTCCCTCTCTTTTCTCCCCCTCTGTGTCCCACCATCTCTGCCCCCCAACCCCGCTCTGACCCGCGCTTCCCTCTCCGAACAGTCCACCCGGCCGGCCAGTACCGGGGTGCCTGGGGCCAGTAGCTCCCTGGGACCCTCCGGCTCCGCGTCAGCAGGAGAACTGAGCAGCAGCGAGCCCAGCACCCCGGCACAGACGCCGCTCGCAGCGCCCATCATCCCCACGCCGGCCCTCACGTCCCCTGGGGCAGCCCCCCCACTCCTTTCCCCCTCCAAGGTAAGGACAGGCCGAAAAGGGCAGAAGCAAGACGTGGGGGAGGCGGGGGTGGGTCCAAGCCTCTGGCCTTGGCCGGGCTCCCCATTCCTCTGCCCTCACCCCCGCGCCCCCCCGGGTGTCCCCAGAGGCCCCTGGGGGGACGCTCGCTCATGTTCTTGCCCTTTCTGCCCGGCCTGGGCCCGCGGGGGTGGGCCGGGGAGGCAGTGCCCAGAGCCTGGGGTTCCCCTCTGCAGGAGGAGGAGGGGCTGAGGGCTCAGGTGCGAGACCTGGAGGAGAAGCTGGAGACGCTGCGGCTGAAACGGGCGGAAGACAAGGCGAAGCTGAAGGAGCTGGAGAAGCACAAGATCCAGCTGGAGCAGGTGCAGGAATGGAAGAGCAAGATGCAGGAGCAGCAGGCCGACCTGCAGCGGCGCCTCAAGGAGGCGCGGAAGGTAACCCCGGGGAGCAGGGCGAGCACGCCACCTGGAGCCCACGGAGGGGCGCAGTGAGGCCCACCCCTGCCCCCTCTGCAGGAGGCCAAGGAGGCGCTGGAGGCCAAGGAGCGCTACATGGAGGAGATGGCCGACACGGCCGACGCCATCGAGATGGCCACGCTGGACAAGGAGATGGCTGAGGAGCGGGCTGAGTCCCTGCAGCAGGAGGTGGAGGCGCTGAAGGAGCGTGTGGACGAGCTCACCACGGACCTGGAGATCCTCAAGGCCGAGATTGAGGAGAAGGGTAGGGGCCTGGCACGGTGCAGGGCCGGCTGGTGGCGGGGACCCCCGCTCACCCTGTTCCTGCTCTTCCCCAGGCTCTGACGGGGCTGCGTCCAGCTATCAGCTCAAGCAGCTGGAGGAGCAGAACGCCCGCCTCAAGGATGCCCTCGTGAGGTAGGAGCTGCCCTGCCTGCTCCTGGTGCCCTCTCCGGCCTCCGTCCTGTCGGTGCCTTGCCTCCAGCCCACCCGCACTCATGTGCCCTCACACCCTCATTTTTCTTATTTTTTTGCTTTTTGGGTCATACCTGGCCATGCGCAGGGGTCACTCCTGGCTCTGCACTCAGGAATGACTCCTGGTGGTGCTCGGGGGACCCTATGGGATGCTGGGAATTGAACCCAGGTCTGCCGCCTGTAAGGCAAACGCTCTCCCTGCTGTACTACGCCCCGGCCCCACCCTCATTTTTCTTTCTCCGTGTCTCGCAGTGCCTGGGACTCACTCCTGGCTCTGTGCTCTGGCATCATTCCTGATGGAGCTCAGGGAACCCCCTAGGGTGCTGGGGGTTGACCCTGGGTCAGCTGTGCAGGACAGACGTCTGACCTGCCGTCCTATCTCTCTGGCCCCCCTCTCTCACCTTCTCTCTTCTCCACAGGATGCGGGACCTTTCTTCCTCCGAGAAGCAGGAGCACGTGAAACTCCAGAAGCTCATGGAAAAGAAGAACCAGGAGCTGGAGGTGGTGAGGCAGCAGCGGGAGCGCCTGCAGGAGGAACTGACCCAGGCCGAGACCACCATCGACGAGCTCAAGGAGCAGGTCTGGGGCGCCTGGCCCTGGCCCCGAGCCCCCCGCGCCGGCCGCCTCCACCCTCGGCCCCTTATAGCAGCCCTTGCCTCTGTCCCCCCCCAACCCAGGTGGACGCTGCTCTGGGTGCTGAGGAGATGGTAGAGACGCTTACGGACCGGAACTTGAATCTGGAAGAAAAAGTTCGGGAGTTGAGAGAGACTGTCGGGGACTTGGTATGGAAAGGGTTGGACCCCCGGCCTCTGACGGACAGAGGGGGCATCGGGGATCGCGGGGAGGGGTCTGCTGAGAGGCCTGGTGCTGACCGCTGCCCTTCGCCCTGGGAGTGCGGTGAGCGAGCCCACGGTGCTGCTGCCCTTACCCGTCCCCCCTCGCCGGGCTCGCTGCTCCCCAGGAGGCGATGAACGAGATGAACGATGAGCTGCAGGAGAACGCGCGGGAGACAGAGCTGGAGCTGCGGGAGCAGCTGGACATGGCGGGCGCCCGCGTACGCGAGGCCCAGAAGCGTGTGGAGGCGGCCCAGGAGACTGTGGCAGATTACCAGCAGACCATCAAGAAGTACCGCCAGCTGACCGCCCACCTGCAGGTGCCCGGCCCTCGCCGCGTCCCTGCCCGCATCTCCGCGTGGCCCGTTGGCGCCTCGTGCCTCATTGTCGTGTCCGCCCCAGGACGTGAACCGGGAGCTGACCAACCAGCAGGAAGCGTCTGTCGAGCGCCAGCAGCAGCCGCCTCCTGAGACCTTCGACTTCAAGATCAAGTTTGCTGAGACAAAGGCCCACGCTAAGGTCCGGAGAGCGGGTGGGCCGCCTCGGGGCTGGGCTTCTGGCCCTCCGCAGCCCCTCTGAGAGTCCCTTTCTCGTCCCACACAGGCCATTGAGATGGAGCTGAGGCAGATGGAGGTGGCCCAGGCCAACCGGCATATGTCCTTGCTGACCGCCTTCATGCCGGACAGCTTCCTGCGGCCAGGCGGGGATCACGACTGCGTCCTGGTGCTTCTCCTCATGCCCCGTCTCATCTGCAAGGTACGGCTGGGAGCTGGTTTCGGTGCAAGAATAGCGTCTGAGTGAGGCCCTGGCCCTGGGTCAGTGGGGGGAGAGCTGGCCGGCGGCCATCCTCTACTCCAAGGGTGCTCTGAGCCCGTGGGCACCGTCAGCATCTGTGCCCTGTTGGTGCTGCCTGCACTGTTGCTGAGCCCCAGGGTCCGGGGCCTTCTCCCCGCAGGCAGAGCTCATCCGGAAGCAGGCCCAGGAGAAGTTTGAGCTGAGTGAGAACTGTCTGGAGCGGCCGGGGCTGCGTGGAGCGGCGGGGGAGCAGCTCAGCTTCGCAGCGGGGCTGGTGTACTCGCTGAGCCTGCTGCAGGCCACACTCCACCGCTACGAGCAGTAAGAGCCGCCCCAGCCTCGGCCACGGGAGGCGGGCCTGGAGTGAGGGGCCTCCCCGACCCCAGCCTCGGCCTCACCGGGCCTCTCCCTGCCCCCAGTGCTCTCTCTCAGTGCAGCGTGGATGTGTATAAGAAGGTGGGCAGCCTCTACCCCGAGATGAGCGCCCACGAGCGCTCCCTGGACTTCCTCATCGAGCTGCTGCACAAGGACCAGCTGGACGAGACGGTCAACGTGGAGCCTCTGACCAAGGCCATCAAGTACTATCAGGTCTGGACAGAGGCCCCGGCCTGCAGGGCGGGGTGTGGGGGCCAGGGGGCTCTTTCTGCCGCGTGGTTGCCCTGGGTGGGAGCTCCTTGCACTGGCTGCAGGAAGGATGCTGACTTTTTGGGCTTTCAGAGCCTTTAGTCCCACTGGGGCTGAGCTGATGGTGTTGGCGTGGGGAGTTCTCTGTCTTTCCGAGGCCTCAAGTGTGTGTGTCTCTCGGCCGTTCCTCCTCAGCACCTGTACAGCATCCACCTGGCCGAGCAGCCCGAGGACAGCACAATGCAGCTGGCCGACCACATCAAGGTGCGCGTGGGTCCCAACGGGACTGAGTTGAGGGCAGGGTGGCAGGGACTAAGCCAGGGCAGTGTGGGGTCGGCAGAGGGGACTGCAGACATGCTGCCTGGCTGACGTGCTGCGCCTCTGCCCTCACAGTTCACCCAGAGTGCCCTGGACTGCATGAGCGTGGAGGTGGGCCGGCTGCGGGCCTTCCTGCAGGTGAGATGCGCCAGATCTTTGGATTCTGCCCTCCATAGCCCCCACCCCCGCTCACCTGGTCCCCCTCTTCCCTGTTTCCTGCCCAGAGTGGGCAGGAGGCTTCAGATATCGCGCTCTTGCTCCGGGACCTAGAGACGTCCTGCAGTGACATCCGCCAGTTCTGCAAGAAGATCCGAAGGCGCATGCCCGGGACGGACGCTCCTGGGATTCCGGCCGCACTGGCCTTTGGACAACAGGTCGGCTGCCCCGGGGAAGGGATGAGAGCTGCGGGGGATGGGTGTGAGCGACTCCTGACCCGGTCTGTCCTGCAGGTGTCCGACACGCTGCTCGATGGCCGGAAGCACCTGACGTGGGTGGTGGCTGTGCTGCAGGAGGTGGCGGCTGCTGCCGCCCAGCTCATTGCCCCACTTGCAGAGAACGAGGGGCTGCCCGTGGCCACCCTGGAGGAGCTGGCCTTCAAAGCGAATGAGCAGGTGACTGGGTGGACCGGGTGGGGAGGGAGTGAGCTGCCGTGGGGCCTCAGACTTGTGGCCTCATGCTCCTGGCCCTTGCAGATCTACGGGACGCCCTCCAGCAGTCCCTACGAGTGTCTGCGCCAGTCCTGCACCATCCTCATCAGCACCATGAACAAGCTGGCCACAGCCATGCAGGAGGGAGAGTACGACGCAGAGCGGCCCCCCAGCAAGGTGGGAGCCGGGGAGCAGGGCAGTGGGCGGGCCGTTGGGAGGAGCGTGCGTGACCTCTCCCACCCGGACTCTAGCCTCCCCCGGTGGAGCTGCGGGCCGCGGCCCTGCGGGCGGAGATCACGGATGCCGAGGGCCTGGGCTTGAAGCTGGAGGACCGAGAGACCGTGATCAAGGAGCTCAAGAAGTCCCTCAAGATCAAGGTGTGACAGGGGAGGTGACGGGGGAGGCCCCGGGGAGGTGCCGGACCCTGCTTGGAGGCGGTCAGGGGACGATTGTCTGTTGCGCGCAGGGGGAGGAGCTGAGCGAGGCCAATGTACGCCTCAGCCTGCTGGAGAAGAAGCTGGACAGTGCGGCCAAGGATGCGGACGAGCGCATCGAGAAAGTGCAGACGCGGCTGGAGGAGACGCAGGCGCTGCTGCGCAAGAAGGAGAAGTCAGTGCCCACCTCTGCCCCTCCTGCTGGGCACGCCGGCCCCTCCCCCTCCCGCCAGCCCGGGGTCCCCCAGTCCCAGCCCCAGCCCCCACCAGTTCTGGCCTGGCTCCGCATGCACCCTGGGGTCTGGTGGGGCTGGGGGCCTTGCCCAAGGAAGGGTCTCGCTCGCAGGGAGTTCGAGGAGACCATGGACGCGCTCCAGGCCGACATCGATCAGCTGGAGGCCGAGAAGGCCGAGCTGAAGCAGCGGCTGAGCAGCCAGTCCAAGCGCGCGGCCGAGGGGCTCCGGGGCCCTGCGCCCTCTGGCATCGCCACCCTGGTCTCGGGCCTGGCGGGCGGTGAGTCAGCCCCTCGGGGGCCTCCTCAGAGCCTCCGACCTTGGTGCCTGTCGGCTTGGGCGCGGGGACCCCCCCTGCCCTTAGACCACGTACAGATTGGTGGCCCTGGTCTTGCCGAGGGTCTGCAATATGGCCACGTGGTGTTAACTGTTTCAGCCCGCAGCATGTTCTCCTTGGCAATTCTTTCTTTGAGGCACCATGACTTGCTATACTGTTAATGAGGGGGTTTCATGCAGTGTCCAACACCCATCCTCTACCAGAGTCCCCCTATCTCCCCACCCCAATGAGAACCCCTCTTCTCCCACCAGAGTTCCCCCTCAAATCACCCCCACCAGAGTCGCCCCTTCTCCCCGCACCAGAGTCGCCCCTTCTCCCCACTGCCAGCTCCCTGCCATGGTGCATGGGGCCCAGCGGTGCCTCCTGCGCGGAGCGGCAGGGCGTGTGGGGGCCGACGGGGCGTGGCCGCTGCGGTGGGTGCGTGGGCTTCAGGCACATCTCTGGGCTCATCTCGCCACCTTCCAGGAGGGCGTGGGAGGCAGCAGGGGGCAGTCCCGGCCTCCCGCGTGCCCCCGCGCAGCTCCAGATGACTCAAGCTTGCTGTTCTCCCAAGGGCTGCTGCTGGGGCAGGAAAAGCCGGGGAGGCTGGGCGGTGCCCACGGCTGACTCCTGGCGCGGTGCTCAGGGCTCGGCCCGCAGGCGGGTGTTGGGACCGGGGTTCCTCCGAGGCGAGGGCTGGCAACCCACGTCTCCTCATTCTCTCTCCTCTCTCCCTGCTCCTCACGGTTACTGGGCACAGAAGAGCAGCAGCGAGGTAGGCACCCTCTGGCGGCTGGGCAGGCCCTGGGGCGGGGCGGGAAGGGCGCCCAGCAGGGGCGAAGCTCTTTCTCCGTGCTCCCGCAGGAGGTGCTCCCGGACAGGCTGCGGGCGCGGTGGCGGGCCCGGGACTGGTGAAGGACTCACCGCTGCTGCTGCAGCAGATCTCGGCGCTGAGGCTGCACATCTCGCAGCTGCAGCATGAGAACAGCGTCCTCAGGGTGAGGCAGGTGGCGGGTGCCACTGGCGGGGGCGGCAGGGAGCAGGGGACGTCGCTGAGTCCCGGGCTGCCGCCTCCCCCAGGGAGCCCAGATGAAGGCGTCGCTGGCGGCGCTGCCCCCTCTACACGTGGCCAAGCTGCCGCTGCCACCGCGGGAGGGCCCTGACAGCGAGCTGGCGGCCGGAGCGCTGTACCGCAAGACCAGCCAGCTCCTGGAGACGCTGAACCAGCTGAGCACGCACACGCACGTCGTGGACATCACCCGCACCTGCCCGGGTAGGGCCCTGCCCACAGCCCTCCCTGACCCTCCCGTCCAGGCAGCCTGCCGGGCTCTCACTTCTGTCCTCCCCGCAGCCGCCAAGAGCCCGTCGGCCCAGCTCCTGGAGCAGGTGGCTCAGCTCGCGACCCTCAGCGACACCATCGAGAAGCTCAGGGTGAGCCTCGCCTCTGGCCCCCGTGCTGAGTGACAACGCTAGGGCCCAGGGCTGGGGCGGCAGAGTTCCTGATGGTCTCTGACGGGCGAGTTGAGCCGGTCAGCGTGTGTGAGCTGAGCCCCGGGGAGAGTGGTGGGGTGGTTCCCAGAGGCGGAGAGTCAGAATCAGCCTCCGAGGCTCAGCGAGGCCAGGGGGCCGGGGAGGGAGGGACGTGGGCCCCAGTTGGGCCAGGGAGGTCTTGGAGGGGCCTGTGCGGGGCCCTCAGTGACCCTGTTCTTGCCTCCACCAGGACGAGGTCCTCAAGGAGACTGTATCTCAGCGTCCGGGCGCTGCCGTCCCCACGGACTTTGCCACTTTCCCTTCCTCAGCCTTCCTCAGGGTAAGGGGGGTGTGGGGGGGAGGCCGGGCGGTGGGGTGGCCTTCCCCGCACGCCTCTGGACATGCCGCTGTGCTGGGCTCCCTGTGAGTCTGACCAGGCGCCTCCGCCCCTGCCAACCTCAGGCCAAGGAGGAGCAGCAGGATGACACGGTCTACGTGGGCAAAGTGACCTTCGCGTGCGCGGCTGGCCTGGGCCAGCGACATCGGGTGGTGCTGACGCAGGAGCAGCTGCACCAGCTTCACGGCCGCCTCATCTCCTGACCATTGTGCCCTGCTGTCCCTCCCACCCTCCTGGTGTCACAGCCGCACCGTGTGTGTGTAAGGCTTGCCCCAGCCCGCTGACCCGGAGCTGACCCGGGCCCTCCTCGCTGGCGCTGCTTCCTCCTCCCCGCGGGCCAAGGCTGACACCCGCCACCAAAGCTGCACGAGGTCCCTGGGACAAATGGCTTCACTCCTGGATTAAAGCGACTTCTGCTTCCGTGCTTCCTGCGTGCTGCTGGAGGGGGAGGGAGGCCGCGCCGAGCCCCTCTGCCCCCGCCCCCTCGCCTGGTGTCTGTGCCAGCATCACCCCGCGGGCAGGTGCTCGCAGACGCTCCATCGCCCTCCATCACCCTCCAGCCACCTGGTCGTCCGCCCTGCTGGCTTTCCCGTCAGTCCTATTCTCACCATTTCCCACTTTAGATTTTTCTCACTCCCTCTGCTGCTGACTTCTCGTCAACTTTTTTGTTTTTGCTGTGGGTCCTTCAGCCAGTTTAAATTGGCCCCCTGGCCCACTTGCCTCTCTCCACAGATGTCAGGACCATTGAGAAATGCTTGCCCTGTCACCTCCCACTATAAGTCCTAAAATGGTTCTTCCAACTAGGGTTTAAAATCCAGATAAAATCCCGAAATATTTCCTCCAAGATGTCCATTCCTTGGAGTGGCACAGGCCTCCATGATGAGGGTCTTGCCTGGGTGAGCCCTTCCCAATCTGCTCCCCGTCCCTCAGCCGGCATCCTGTCCGTTCTCTCAGGCACTTCCGGCATTGCCGCCCCAGGCATCCCTGTGGCCTGGGAGGTGTTTCCTTTGGGGAATGAGTCTTAACTGCAGGTGTGCTCGGGATTTTGTGGCGCAGTTTATAACTTCTGGCCCACTGTCTCAGCTGCAGAATGAGGAGAAAGAGGGGTGCTGAAAGATGATTCAAAGGCTGAATGAGAGGAACCTGGGGTGGCCACAGACTCAACTACCCATTGTCCACATACCCAGGATCCTCTGCTGTTGGCACCCAGTACCACAAGTACTTTCCAGGTGCAGTACGATAGGGCCCACGTAGGTACCCCCTCAAAGGTGTGAACCCCAGGAAGCACAGAAGAGTACGGGCACTGTGCTAGGAAGTGCAGCTCCCGAAGAGCTCATGCAAGCAGGCATGGACCACCCCAGCGTGTGCCTCTACCAAGGGCTTGGACCCCTGTGAGCAAGTCCCGCCATCACACCACAGCCACAAACACAACAGCATCAGACAACCACCACAAAGGAAGGGGGAGGGGGAGGAGGGGGAGAAAAATTAGGCATCGATCAGCATGGGCATTGACATTCTCAACGACGCAGGTCAAGGTCATGTGACCTGACCTGTGGACTCCAGAGAGAAGCCGGGCGCTCAGGGCGCTGCCTCTGCTCTAGGAAGCCTTGGCCTGTCTATCACAGTTGGATGCAGTCCGAGTCTGTTTAGGCTGTCTTCTGTCTCTGATTCCCCAAACAAATTAGGGGATGCTTGGGAGCTCCCTGCACGAAGACTCTCGGCTGCTGGGCCCATATGCTGTGGCACTCTGCTCAGAGGCAGAACGGCAGATAACGTCTGGGGAAGAAGTCGGGGCTGGGTTCAGTGGTGGTTGAAGGCACGAATTGGATAAGCGACTCTTCACTCAGGCTTAGTAAACACTGAATTAAAGCTTGTTCTAGACCTTGGTGGGCAGAAACAATCCCAGAGCAGCATGAGCGGAGAGAGGGGAGTGAGGGAGTGAGGCAGGAAGAAGACATAGGCTTGTCAAGAGCTGGGACAGACGCAGTGGTTTCTTTGCCCGTGAAGTCCCTGGAAAGATGCAGTGGTGATGCCGGCCGCAGCATCAGTGGAGGGAAGGAGAGAAAACCTGCCCAGCTCTTGCAGTGCTCTGTCCTTCATTGCTCCCCGTGGGGTCTCTTGCCCCTCACTCTCCCATTGCTGGGATAGTGTTAGCTGTCGAGAAAGCCAGAGCTCATGGCCTATAACTTGGCCTGCAGGCCGGGCCCCAGGTGCTGTGGGGAGAGGGCACTGACCCCAAGGTGTGGTCAAGGCCAGGCAACCAGCAGGAGGCCTAGGAAGTGGAGGGGGTGGGGCCATCCCGGATCCCCAGAGCATCCTCGGAGCAGAGCAGAGGGCCCCAGAGAGCACCGGGAGGAAAGGGGGTCAGGAGGACGGTGGGCAGCCTCGGAGAGGCGTCTGACTTCTGGAGGATTCTGGTTCTCCAAAGCCGGGTGCACTGGCTGAGCTGCAAATGGTGCAGCGAAAAGGAAAGAACCGTCTGCATATGTGCTGTGGCCAGATGCTCAAGCGCTCACGCTGCCTGGGGGTGCCCCAAGGGATGCCTGGAGACTGGGCTGGGGCAGGCGGGGCTGAGGGTGGACATAGCATGCAAACGGTCTCTTACCCAAACCCAGAACTGCGTGTTGGGCTAGGGAACCAAGCAGATGATAAACAGCCTCTTGCTTTTGTCACCTAGGATGTCTCTCTGGGAGGCCGTGGGGCTCTTAGAGCCAGCATCATCTCCCTGACCTAAAGGCACTCTGGAGAAAAGGGCCATGGCCCAGTTCTCCCACTCAGACCTCACACACAACATAATCCTGAAAAAAATTTTTTTTGGCGGGGACTGGAGTGATAGCGGGTAGGGCATTTGCCTTGCACGTGGCCGACCCAGGTTCGATTACCAGCATCCCATATGGTCCCCCGAGCACCGCCAGGAGTAACTCCTGAGTGCAGAGCCAGGAGTAACCCCTGAGCATCTCTGGGTGTGACCCAAAAAGCAAAAAATAAAAAAAAAAATTTTTTTTCCCCTTTCAGTTTTTTTGCCACACCCAGCAATGCTTAGGGATTATTTCCTACTCTGTGCTCAGAAATCCTGGCTCCGGGGACCATATGGGATGCCGGCGATCGATCCCAGGTTGGCTGTGTGCAAGGCCCTACCCACTGTACTATCTGTCCCCTGTCACAGCATGAACTCGAGCAGTCAGTTCTCATCCCCATTCAGTGGCTATGGGGGGTGGCCAGCAGCAATCAGACTCTCCTCAGTGAAGGGAGACCGGGTGCCTGACAGCTACTCGGCGAAAGTGCAGTCTCGGGAAAGGCTGGGATGGCTCAGGGAGGGGGGTGGGGGCTCGGACCCGGCCTGCGGAAGCTCGGGGCTGAATGGAAGCTCTGCAGGGTCCCCCAAGCACACCGGGAGTGACCCCCCCCCCCCCCAGCACTGTGCCAGGAATAGCCCGTGGCCCAAAAACCAGAAAGAAAAGATGAAAAGAAAATGCAGTATCCATGTTCCCAAGGCACGTCCTCCAGCATAAATAACCACGTTTGAGCCCAGGAGCCAGACAATCCGTGTCACGTGCAGCTTTCCCTGCTGCCCATGATCAGCTTTTATTTCCTCCCGCTGTTGGCAGGCCGGGGTGGAGGGAGCCGAAGCCTGGGGCCCTTCCCTGTCTCCCTGATCTCAGTTGCCCTGTTTGGCTCCCAATCTGATGTGGGGACAGTGGGAACAGGGTCACCACAGAGACCTCGTTCAGCTATGAATCCTCGGTAGTGGTCAAGGCCCCAGATGAGGTTCTGTCCTGCCCAGCGTTGGGTCCAAAAGGGAACCAGGAGCTTCTGTGCACCCCTGGGGTCACTTCTTTGCACAGACCTGGACCCCGATCACATAGGCCCGGGCTGCCCGGAAAGCACAGGGCTGAGGGTCACAGCTCCTCTGCCTCTCCTGGGATGAGTCCCAGCTGCCTGCCATCTGCCTCCCCCACGCCTGCACACGGGCCAGCCGGAACCGTGTCCTGGGCAGGGTCTGCGGATGCCCTCGGAGTGGCAGCTGGTTACACTCCAGGAGGCTGAGAGATCCGGGAGCGGAAGCCTGGACTTTGTGGCACTCAAAATACATTGTGGAAAAACATCACCTTGACTGTGCTTTGTTTGGTTACTTCTTATTATGAGACATTGTATTTACTTCCCTATTTGGTTCTTGGGGCACAGTGGTGCCCAGGCCTTACTTCTGGCTCTGCTCCGGATGCCTGGTGGTACTTGGGGGACCATGTGCTGTGCTGAGGGTCAAACCCCCTGTAACTATTTCTCTTGTCCCTTATTTTTTTTTTTCACTTTTTGGGTCACACTTGGCGATGCTCAGGGGTTACTCCTGGCTCTGTACTCAGAAATTACTCCTGGTGGTGTTCTGGGGACCATATGGGATGCTGGGAATTGAACCCGGGTCAACTGCGTGCAAGGCAAACACCCTACCTGCTGTGCTATTGCTCCAGCCCCCTGTCCCTCATTCTGAGAAGGTTTAACCCAAATGAATAAAGTAGCTGTAATGGGTCTCTGCAAGCCCGTCATTTCCTGATCCAGCTTCTTTCTTCTCCCTCACGCCCCTTTTCTACTCTCCTTTTCCCCAGAGATTAGCACATTCTAGATGACATCATAATTTCACCCAAAAGTATTTTAGTGTCTTTGAAACACAGTGCACTGAAAGAAAATTAAAATATGACCATCACACCTGAAATAAAACCCAACTCATCAAATACCCAGGGTCCAAATGTCCCCAATTGCCTCAGAAATGTTTTGCTTTCCAATATGTGTTTTAGTTCAAAAGGAAGACTATGGATAATGTCATTAGGTCTCTTGAGTCTCACAGACAACAGTTCCCATTACTGTTGCAATACAACAGATGCTTTGTACGCATTCTTGAATATGTCAGCAAGTCCAGTGTATGACCTCACCCTGTGAGCACAAAGACCCGACTCGGAGGCAGATAGAAACATTTTCCATCTTTATTCCCTCGTGTCTCTAGAGATTTCCTTTTGGACTTTCTATTTAAAACCCTAAATATGTCATTGTTGGCTTTGCAAGACAGAGCTGCAAGAGTGGGAGGACAATGAAGAAAGCAGTAACCAGTGCTCGGAGGAAAGAGGGAGGATGCCTTTAAACTAACCCCAGGAATCCCTTCACTCCGAGGGTGCTCATCTGTCTTAGCTCTGGCTGCTCTCACGGGGTATCAGTGGCACATTATGGCTCATTCTGGGGGCTGGAGGCTGCAG